TTTGCTCTTAAACGTTTAATAATCCATGTAACGATGATCATCGAAGTTGGCTAATCAAATCTAAGCGCAGTATGCTTATAAACTCAGCGGGCTACATATAGAGATTGTACCCATCAAGAAAATCTCTACCTGGGTATTATTAAATAAATATCATAGTATATAATAAGATCATATGCTTATGGCCTGATTTATTATTGATGCCCAAATTTTTCTAAGCTAAAGTTTTATACAATATTGTTACACAATATGGGTTTATCACAAAAGCCCGAAAGACAGATTCCCGAAAGAACCTAATACCAACAAAGTTAACTGGCATTAGTTATAATGCTGGCCAATTTAGTCAATATTATGTTTTTTCAGGAAAATGGTTTTTGAGATTTTGCAGTAGAACCACACAATATAGTCTAATTCTATTATTGTTTTATATATACCTCTAGAAGGCACTAAATCTCACAATAAAATACCCTTATTTATTAAAATTGCCCTGACAAATTAATGTCTACTAAACAAAATGAACAAACAAACATTAATAACATGTTGTTGAACAAGAATTAGAGGACAGCTATAATTATGATAAACCAAAGCCATAGTTTTTTATGAGTGAACTTAGAAACTTACCCACAGAAATATATTTAGGCTTTATATTATCAAAAATTGAATGTCAAAAAATATTATACAGTAAACTATGTAATGCTGAAGTTGATTACTAATTACCACTAATAGAGCAATATTTCTTATGAGCCATGTTAAAGTAACAAAAAGAGTTCAACAAAATTATTCATAACATTTCTTATCACATCTTTGCTATTTTGTATCTCATTGATAATATTGAAAAAATACTTTATGATTCAAAATTAGATGATGAGAATACAGAAGCAAAAGCAGGGTGTGAGCTACTACAAAAATCAAATTACAATGTAAGAAAATTGCTACAAGATATTTTGTTATACACTAATGATTACAGAAAGGGTATTGTACTTAAAGCTATATTATCATTATATACTACTACTAAGGACAAAAAGGGAGTTTTGGCAAAAACTTTAAAGGCTTGGTTGAGGAAGAAAACACCAAGTCTAAACTATATAATGATACTAATAAAGAGCGACATAGATTTTTGGCACCTATACAATCACAAGGGTTTTCTAATAACAGAAACCAAAACACCACTTACTATTCTTAAGATAAAAGATGCTATATATATGACAAAACTGTTAGAAAACCAGGGCCCATACAAGGAAATTTTTAAACAAACAATTGCTAAATTCCACGAATCTGTGAATATTCAAATTCCTAGACGTTTAAAGGAATTCAAACACAAATAATTAAAAATATTTGGCAATTCATAAACTACCTCAATTATATCAAATAGTTATTCTTTAGAATAAAGCTCAAAACCCTATTAAAAATTCACTAACAGAAGCACATATCAGCTGATTTGATTCTGATCCCAAAATCAACCAATTATGATTGAGAATTATAAAAGAAATTTTGTACTTAAAATTTAATACAGTGCGAATTTTCTTAAAAACAGCCTTTTTAACTAACCTTGTATTTATAATTAAATATATAGAAAATTATAGTACTTATATTTAATTATAAGCCAAATATATATTAAAAAGACTAGTTTTTTAAAAATTTGCTTCCGAGTTTAGCCTTGAAGTTGCTAACCCATTATAACCCATCATCCTTTTTCTAAAACACCCAAGTATTTCAATAAATGGTAAAAGTACTTCTTTCTACAGCTTAGTGTAGCTTTTTTATTGGTTTTTATTGGTTTTTTAACTTGTTTAGATATCAAAAAAAGCTCTTTTGTTAATTGTAACAAGTGTTTCATTTGTTAGTTTTTAATATAACTTAGAAAGGTTTTCTCCAACCTATCCTAGCTAGAATTACTTTATTCATTTAAATTAATAATAGTATTAAATAGGGAATAGGA